TATTAATAGTACGACTACTACTGCTACTGTTACTACTACTACTAACATTACTACCACTTCTACTACTTCTACTACTACTGCTACTACTACTACTACTACTACTACTACTACAACAAAGGCTACTACTACTACTACTACAACTACTACTGCTAATTATTATTATTATTATTATTATTATTATTATTAATTGTACGACTTCTACTGCTACTGTTACTACTACTACTAACATTACCACCACTTCTACTACTACTACTACTACTACTACTACTACTACTACTACTACTACTACTACTACTACTACTACTACTACTACTACTACTACTACTACTACTACTACTACTACTACTACTACTACAACTACTACTACAACTACTACTACAACTACTACTACAACTACTACTACTACTACTACTACTACTACTACTACTACTACTACTACAACTACTAATACTACTACTACTCCCGGTATGGGATCGGATGCCCCCTTGTGGGGAAAACAAGAATAGATTCACTGCCTCCTGAACACGACTAACTGTCGGGGGGCATCTGCCTGAGAGGCAAGAAACTAACAGTTTGCATGAAAAAAAAAAGCGAGTTCTGTAAAAAAAGATGATGAAAACTCCTGAAACAAAGATAAAGTCGAAAAGTGGATGAACAACCAGGTTTTTCGCTTCCGATGAAAGCAATCAACAATAAATATTTTTTTTTTGTCGTTATTATTATTATTAGTATTGTCCTGTTGTCGCTATTGTTGCCGTGTTTTATTGTGACTTTTAATCTGTTATTTTCACCTCTTATTGTAGAACAACGATCGCATATGTTCGTGGACTAGGCATATGTTATCTTATCATGGGAGAGTTGCGATTTAGTTTCACAACCTAAGTATTGACTAGATACAGTTTTGTTGCACACGAGCTGAGCATGCACGAGATGACGAAAATTGCTAAAATTAGATGTAATGTTGTTGCAAAACAAAAATAATTTTTTTTAATGCCACGACTATATAAACGACGGCATTTTCTCCCCTTCCTTAGCGTGTCTTGCACCAGACAAAACAGGTAAGTTTCTGTATGTATGTGTGAAGCTGAGATCGTTTTTGGCATTGTCTGGTTGATAATTCTTGATTAATAAAATAGTGATGTGATCTTTTTGATAACTGTTATTTCTTAAGTGCTGAGACAATTGACTTCGCATCTGTGAAGATAGCTATGTATTCCTCTTTATTTTTCTTTGACAAAAGCCTTTCTGCTGCAGTTTTCAGGGCCTCAGCCTCTGCTCTAAAATTACTTGAGAACTTTCCGGTTGCAATCGACTGTGTTTTCTCTGATCCATTTTTCAGATTCAGGACGATTCCCCCACCTTCATTTTCTGTTGAATTTTTTTCTGATCCGTCTGTATATGCAAAAGTCCAGGTGTTACTTGGGTATTTTTCTTCTATGTAGTTTAATGTGATTTTTCTTTTTTCAGTCTCATTCTGAGTGTTCTTATTCTCAATACCAGGAACATTTTCCATCAATTCAAGCAGATGCTGCTGTCTCCAAGCAAGGAGCGTATATGTAATATATTATGTTTAATATATGCTGTCTAATGATCACATAATATGTTGTGCTTACATTTTTGAGAGCGTGCATCTTTCGTGCAGAAATATACGGGTGTGAGTCGTAGGCTTCATTGCAGTCCCTAAAAAAGACAATAGGGGCTTTTGAGCTGAAATGCTTTAAAAAGATTATCAGAATGCCATGAACAAAGGAAAAGGGAAATACTGACATCCTAAAAGATCCCAACATTAAGGAAGATTGGCTGGTAAACAGCATCTTGTCCTCAGAAATTCAAATGTTCTGGCCATATTAAACGTCACGGCGGATTGAAGAGTATAGTGGCAGAAGGAGTTTTTCAAGGAAAGGGGGCAGGCGCCTACCAGCACGACGACAGTCACAAATGTGACACCTTAGTTAGGTGAGTACACGAGGCAGAAGAGCTGGCGAGAGCCCTAGTTTCGGTCAGGCAGACCGTGGTGAGAGCGACGTTCTGTAAATTGCTTGCTACTTGAAAAGACAATAATGCAATATTGAGTATACCTGACTTACATCCTCACAATATAAACTTTATATGTGCGTTCTTTAATCTGTAAAACAAACTCTCCAGTTTCTTCTCGTCACGCAGAAGTTTGTTTTGTGGCAGCGCAGTCTTGAAAGTGTAAGTAGATAATTTTTTTAATATACTTTGTGCAGTGTAACTCCTTAAAACTGTAAGTATATAATCTATTTAATAAACTTCGTACAGTGTAGCTTTCTAAAACTGTAAGTAGAAAATCGGGAAGCTCTAGCACTCGAGTCGTACATAATACCTCGAGACCACGCAGTACCCCAACTTCCCAAAAACAATATACGGATTCCGATGACGCTGTACCACACGCAAAAATACAGCATAGAGAAGCTATTTAAAGTTGCCCATCTTCAGGGACTGGTCTCTGAGTGTTTGTAAGTTTATGGACAGAAAGACAGTAACTTAACAGACAGACATTCTGGTGAGCTGCTGAGCGTCTATATAAGAAAAGCATGGATGGGATGAGGGCACAATGAGAAATTAAGAGAGAGAAAGTGAGAGAGAGAGAGAGAGAGAGAGAGAGAGAGAGAGAGAGAGAGAGAGAGAGAGAGAGAGACAAATAGGCATATGGACAGATAAAGATTCAGAAACTTACTTGCTGAAATATAAAGTATCAGACAAAGACAGAGAGAAGGGAGGGAAGGAGTGACAGAGAAGCAGACAAGCAAAATCACTGAGAGGACTAGAGAAAAGTAGGAAAGAGAGGCACACAGAAGAAAAGAGCGAGGAAAAGACATAACACCAGAAAATGAGAGAAAAAGACATATGATTAGAGACAAAGACAGGTGGACATAGAAAAATGGATAGTCTTGAAATGTAAAGCAGCCAGCAAAACATTGACAAAGACAGATGGACATACAGAAATTGATAGTCTGAAAGTGTAAGACAGCCAGCAAAACAGAGGCAAAGACAGATGGACATAGAGAAAGGGATGGTCTGGAAGTGTAAGACAGCCAGAAACACATTGACAAAGGCAGTTGGACATAGAGAAATGGATGGTCTTGAAGTGTGAGACAGCTAGAAAAACATTGACACAGACAGATGGACATGGAGAAATGGATGGTCTTGAAATATAAGACAGTCAACAAACCATTGACAAAAACAGACAGACATAGAGAAATGGACGGTCTTGAAGTGTAAGAGCCAGAAAAACATTGACAGAGATAGATGGACATAGCGAAATTGATGGTCTTGAAGTGTAAGATAGCTAGCAAAACATTGACAAAGACAGATGGACATAGAGAAAGGGATAGTCTGGGAGTGTAAGACAGCCAGCAAAATAGAGACAAAGACAGATGGACATAGAGAAAGGGATAGTCTGGGAGTGTAAGACAACTAGCCAAACAGAGACAAAGACGGATGGACATAGAGAAAGGGATAGTCTGGGAGTGTAAGACAACTAGCCAAACAGAGACAAAGACGGATGGACATAGAGAAAGGGATAGTCTGGGAGTGTAAGACAACTAGCCAAACAGAGACAAAGACGGATGGACATAGAGAAAGGGCTGGTCCTCTGTGTAAGAGAACAAGTCAAACAAAGACGTAAGGGCAACCAAGACACAAACACAATGCGAGCATGAACGAATGAACGAACGAACAAACTTTATTTTCAAGAGGGTTAAGAATTGGGCACGCAGCCCGTCTAACATTCAGCCCTTTCACTCCGCTCCTTGCATACAATCATTCATGTGTACATCATTTCATAGTAAATAATAGTATTAAAAAAGAATAGTTAAAAATACCCCCCCCCCCCCCACCCCCAGTACAATATTTAAGCATTAACTACATGCTGGAATGTGCTCTACTTATACTGACATTACTGAAAAAGAATAGTAATAAGCTTATTCTAAAAATTATATAAGTCTTACACTCATAGGTTGCATAATATAAACATCATCAACATCAATAAATAATAATTACAAACATTGGAATGCGTTCGACTGGCATCTTTATTGATATGTATGAGAATGTAATAGGGCACACTCATAAACACACAAAAAGAGACGTACAGAGTAACGTAGAAGCTTGTACATAATGTGTGCTTATATACACTCATAAAGGGGGAAAAAAAATAAGTGCAACAGAGAGGTTCATTGCATAGATACGCTCAAACAGAAACATACAGAGTTACATTGAAGACAACATTTCAAACATACTTTTCTCACATTCTCACTTTCTCACTGCTGCTCTACGACACCCCTCCCCCTTTTTCTTTTTTCTCTCTCTCTCTCTCTCTCTCTCTCTCTCTCTCTCTCTCTCTCTCTCTCTCTCTCTCTCTATCTCTTCTAATATCTCTCTCTATATCTCTATCTCTCTCTATATCTCTCTATCTCTCTCTATCTCTCTCTATCTCTCTCTGTCTCTCTATCTCTATATCTCTCTATCTCTCTCTATCTCTCCCTCGCTCTATCTCTCTCTATCTCTTTATCTCTCTCTATCTCTCTCTATCTCTCTCTATCTCTCTTTATCTCTCTTTATCTCTATCTCTCGCTCTCTATCTCTATCTCTCTCTATCTCTCTCTATCTCTCTCTTTCTCTCTCTCTATCTCTCTCCATCTCTCTCTCCATCTCTCTCTATCTCTCTCTATCTCTCTCTATCTCTATCTCTATCGCTCTCTATCTCTCTCTATCTCTCTCTATCTCTCTCTGTATTTCTCTCTCTCTATCTCTCTCTATCTCTCTCTATCTCTCTCTTTCTCTCTCTATCTCTCTCTATCTCTCTCTCTCTCTCTCTCTCTCTCTCTCTCTCTCTCTTTCTCTCTCTGCTCCTTGTTTCTCTGTTGTTCTTTTTATATGATTGTCACTCTTTCTTTTCTTTTTGTATCTGTGATGAACTTTCTTGATATACAGTCAAGATTTAATTCAATGATCATGTATTCTGTTCACAGAATATC